GTCACAGGCACACAAGATAAAGATGAAATGACGCGACCACAGAGGATCCCGGAGGAAAATTAGTTCAACTTTCTATGGATCCGGGACGAATGATTCACCATCAGTCCCATTCGTAAATCTATGTGATCAACTTGGAAATTCAACATCAAATGTCTCAACTCCGCAGTTTTTTTTCCGAACACCCAAAGTGGCAATTTTGCAACCTCGCGTAGTACTGATGAGCCTGCGAAGGCAACTGATTCTTGTGACAGCGGAGTGACACATGATCTGTGATCCGCACCTTCTCATCACACCACGACCATCTGCCAGCACTTCGTGCAATGCAGCGTGTACGTCGACAAATCCACCCTCCAAGACCTCCAAAACTTTTCCCCGCCCGCCCTCGCCTTCAAACTGATGTCTCAAGTACATCACATGTCAATCTGTTTCAGCCTTTCAAGGGCCCGTGGGGCAGCACACAGGTAGGGTGGTGGTTGGGGTTCATTCTCACGCCTCACCATCGCCCTACGACCTGGAGATCAGCGGTTCGGGAAGTTGAACCTTCCGCTGCTCCTCCATCCCCAACGAATATCTGTGGCTGTCCTCAAGTTCAATTTGATTCCGAGATGCAAACGAAGCGCAGAACAAGACCGGGTCCTCCCCATATCCTGCCACAGGTTTGTGTCTAAGATGTTGAATACGATCTATCGAATGCAATCACAGCAACTCACAAGGCTCCAAATTCACCCATGCCCATTTCGCCAGGTGGCGCCACCCTGACGAACGATGGTTTTACGACGGTTCATTTGCATAAAAAATGCACCCGCGCGCAGTGCGCACAGAACAGCGCGCCAACGGTCGTCTTACTTACATACACCATGTTCACTATGTACCGACTACATGTACCCATCCACTGGAACAGAATGGAAATAGATTTGAGACAATTGAACATCCGGACCAGTGAGCGAGTATAAAAGGACACCAAGTCGGGTACGATCGGAAACAAGGAGTTAAATTACGTGCCAAGGAATGGGGTGCGGCGGCGGAGCCGTCGCGTCGAGTCGATAACGAGAGTCGGGGGAACATGAGCAAGGTAATCGGTAGAAAGTCTCAGAAATCAAACTGGAAAAATATCTGTTACACTTCAAGTCTTCATGCACATGCTGCACGCGTGGCCATGAATGCACCAGGAGCAACTGGGTCCTGGCATTGACAACCAGATGGATGTGGTTTCGGGATCCGGACCTGCCAGGTTGTGATCGCTGCGAACAAAAAATCCGAACTCCATTCACGTTGGACGATACAGAACGTTTAGTCTCTGTAAGGGAGGGAGGATGAATGGCGTGGGAAAATATAAAAGGGAGCATCATTCACGGTGGACGATACAGAACGTTTAGTCTCTGTAGCAGACGTCGATATCAGTGACGATCAAGATGTACTGATATGATCAGAACGTTTGACAATGCAAAGAATTGTCCAAGAATTGTCTATTGTTGTCGCCAGGCGAGGCTACAGGTATGAACAGATCAACATTCAAATATTCAAGGGTACACATTTTGAAATGCTCTTGAAATGCTCACCTCACGAAGTGTATTACAATTTACAATGTCCTGCCCGGCACATTGGCATGGCAGGTACCAAAGACAGTCGTCGGCCTTGCGAACGAGTAAGCTATTGCACCCCGCGAGGTACGGGCAGATAAGAAGAGTCTGTCAACTTGTGTCAGGGAGACCTCTATGTCGGTGTTGGACATGCCATTCCCAGACCATACGACAAGACTCGAGCGCGACACGGTCCGGCTCCATACACGGCAAGACGGTCACAACGTCCGCACACGGAAGGATGGAACGATATGACCACAGAGGATCCTGGGAGAGCGAATTAGTTTCTGGGGAACGAATGATTCACAACTAGACCACCGATCTCCAGCGCGTCAAGCTGAAAACCAAGTACCAACTGTCAAAGCTGGCATTTGCGCTAGAAGTCACATTCGTATCAATCCAACGCTTCTGTCTCATGGTTCATTCAACGGTCAAAAAATCATAAGCGGCGGGGAGCTCACACGCTGATCGGGACTGCGTTCATAGAATAGAAAGCCGTGGCCGGCCGCTGCTGGTTTCTGTAGATGAAGGAGCAGAATCGGCTCTGCGACATGTGAATCCACCGAGCATCTTGAATCGAGTCCCGAAATAGCGAGCCCGCAAAGGGAGGAACCGAGCTTCCCAAAGTAATGGAACGGTCGCAGTGCCAGGGATCTGGGGCAAGGGAATTCTTCTTGTTGAGGTCGTGGTGAGATTGATAAAGGGAGAACCTAAAGTCTGGGCCATGTGCGCCTGGTTGTTGACGTTGGCCTGCCACAAGCAAGCGGTGGGGGTGTCGCGGGCAAGGAGGTGGTCGGATTGCAGACGGATCTCGCCAGCGATGCCGGACGCGAGTTCACCCTGGTTGCCGCTCGAGCCGGGGAAGGCGGTGCCGCGGAGCTGGGTCTCGACGAAGAATTGCGTGTCGAAGACGGAGGGCGTCGAGTCGAAGGGGAGGCCACTGAGGTCAGGGTGGACGTCGTCAGCGCCAGCGATCGAGTGAGTGCCTGTTTCGTGGTCAGGTGAGGAAGGGGCGTGGAAAATATTTTCTCACGAGGCGAGGAGGGCAACGATGTCGGCTGCGGTGAGGGTCCGTAAGGGCGTTGGTGCGGTCGGAGGAGAGGGCAAGGTATCGCAGATTGGGTGCACAGATGACCATCTCGCGTAGACGGGCGATGTGGGCGGTGCCGTAGAACCGCGAGTCAATGTCGCTTTCGTGCCACTCGAGGCGGCGAAGGTGCAGAAGGCCGCTCGTACAAGGGTTGGCGACGAGTGTGGACCAGAATGCGACGCTAGCCGCGTCGAGTCGAAGGCACGGTCGCACAAAGACCTCGAGATTGGGGCATAGTGCCAGAAGCTCTGCGAGTCCTGGGACGTTGGAGGGTGCGGGGATAGCGATGGGTTGCGTGTCGGGCTGTAGGAAGATGTTTGTGCGCCGCCGAGGAAGCTCGAGACGCTTGACAAAGGTGCCGTAGTGGTCCGGCCCTTCCTCGGCAGCAGACCGCATGAGGCCCAGGAGAAGGCTCTCCAAACCTCGTGCTTCGGATATCCGAACATCCTCGTACAGAACCTCGGCGGCCATCGCACGGAATCGGCGTGAGACGCGGACGAGAGAGACACGTCTTGAGTCTCGAAGATTCCTGCTGGACAGCATACGTCGTCTCTTGGAATTCCTGGAGCTGTTCAAATGGGGTGTAGTCGACGTGCCGCTGAGTCTCAGGAGCTGTCGCAAACCGTAATATTGCTCGCCAAATTTCTGGGGGCGGGTACGAAGTCATGGAGGGTGCCTTGTCCATAGACCGCGTTGGTTATATAGTCAAACGGACTCGGAGTGACCGGTGACATATCGCGGCGTACAATGACAAGTACACGATGCGGACCAAATCCGAGTAGCAGTACTGTGGATTCGGTGGGATTGCCGCTCAAAATGAAAGACAGATGCGCTACACTCCAAGTGAATTCAGAAAAAGCCTAGTGGACACACCGAGGAGCCCTTTCGCAGTGCACGATGTATCCGCCGACGGACAGTCGGTGCGAGTGTCATGTCATGTCGGATCCACGGTCAGATGAATGGTCTAGCTGGTTCGTGACGTGCCATTGAGCGCAGATGTAAGTAGATGGTGGAAAGCCTGCCAGTGCATTCAGCTAATTCCGCTCCTTGAAATAGACGTCGACAGAGCCAGGGAATGGATTGAAGCTCACCGAGGTTTCCCGCTGCTTCTTTCTACCCGCTCATTTTTCCGTGCTCCACGCGTGCACGGCTCTATGTTTACGCCCACAGAAAACTTCTGTGGTGGTGGTCGGAAGCATGGGAACGTGAGGTAAGCATTTCGCACAGCATTTCTGATTGACAGTGACCCAGCTTCCTCCGCTGCGATATCACCTCAACGGCGTATATTTGGCAAATCCTTGTATTTTGGATTGCAGGGTTTCCGATTTGAATGACTCACGACCACACTCCACTTTAGCTTCCCATTTCACGCATCGGTACCTCGGTCTCTTCATCATCATCCTTCTCCATATCCCACACCAACCACCCCGCCGCGAAGATGACCCCAGCGATAAGCGCCGCGCCTCCGGTGGTTCCGATCCGTGCGAGGATATCAACAGCCTTGGAGTCCAAGTTCTGAAATGCGAGTGCCGTGACGGCGGCGTAGAAGCAGAGCATGGCGCCGATTGCGAATAACGTCGGCAGCGCGAGGATTGCGAGCAGGATTAGAGGCCGACGGGCTATTCTCTTGGGGTACATCGAGTTTGATTTTTTTTTTTGATGTGAATGGAGATTACTGCGGAATTGGAGCCAGGCCTCGTCGTCGTTGGCGCGGAGCTGGGCTGCGAGACGCGCGGGGCGCAGGCCGATGAGGATCAGTAGGACGAGGGTGAGGAAGACGTTGGGGTTGGAGTGCAGGTGAAACTCGAGTCGGTCGAGGTGTTTCTGCTCAGAGTTGACGCGCTTGGGGCGGCGGGCCGCTGGATCCTCTGGGCCTGCCATGATGGAAAAGAGAGAGAGAGAAATTGATAGGCGATATCGGAAAAATCATGTTGCGTGTGATCAAGTCCGTGTGGCCGGAGACTGCTATCCACTAGATGTCAGGGGTCCTGATTTATCAGATGGTTTCGAGCGAGAGACGCCGACACTCGGAGTTTGTCGAGGACTTTTCTTGGTTAGAGGGATGTTTATGATCAGGATTATGGGCTGTAGGGAGTTGCCTCTGGCGAATCAGCTCAGATGGATGGGACACGAGACTCACAAAGCCTTTGAAGTTGAGGTCCGTATTCCTCGCATCGCATTCTAAAGTACGTGTAGGGTTGTCAGGTCCAAATTGCAGGATGCTTCGCTTCGCTCGCAATCGCAATCATTCTACTACTTAATGCGTCGCGAACTTTTAAGGACTGGGAAGAGAATCGACTGGGATCAGGCCGATCAATCCGCTGTCTGAACGCCCTGTAGTCTAATGGTACGATGTCGCCAGTCCACATTTCGTGACGAGGCGGAGATTGCAAGCTCGATTCTTGTCGGGGCTTTTTGAAAAATCATAACCGCCCCAGGTTCCTTGATCCGACGGAATGCTTACGATGCCCAACTCGAAAGGACACCCAGCCTGTCCATAACCAACTAGCCACACAGCCGTGGAATAGACGTGTGTCAAGTTTACAGAAGCTATACGTTCAACTGCCAACGGATCACTTGGGCATTTCTGAGAGAATATATATTGTCTAAAACACTCTCCACGCCATCCTCATCTCATCATCTCCTCTTATGCTGCGGCAACAAAACATTCAAATCCTTCTCACAGTTCTCCCACTCTTGCCTCACCACCTCCGCATGGTGCTCCGACCGCGGTTCGAAGATGGCGGGGAATTCAATGGGACCGTTTGAGAGCTACAATAGTTCGTCAGCACCCTCACAAAAAGGTCAGAGAAGGGAATGTAAACGCACATCCCCATGAAACGCCTCATCCTGCGCACTGTAACTGAACGGCAATCCCGTCTTCGGGTCAGGTTTGAGCGACTTGCGAACGTTGAAACTCCAGAGGATGAGTGCGATGGTGATCCAGAGAGAGCGTTCGGCGAAGGGCATCCCGGGGCATGCTACGGGCACGTGTGAGTTCAGATTGAATTGAGGAGGAGGAGAGGCATTTGGAGGCCGCACCTCTCCGGCCGAATCCAAACGCAGCGGTCTCGTAGCCCGCCTTGAGCTGCCCGTCGGCGTCAAGGAACCGTTCGGGGTTGAATGTGTCTCTGTTCTCGAGGTCTTGGGCGTGTTCGATTGCCCTTGATCCAAATCAGCCATCCTTTAAAACTTGAAAGAGGAGAAAACCCACCAGGTGACAGCAAAGACGACGGTCCCCTTTTGTATGAAATACTCTTTCCCGTTGTATTCCACGATTTCGTCCGCAGTGGAGTTGTGTGGCAGCACGAAGCGGACTGGGTCAGCGATATCGATGTCAAGGGCAGTGATGCAAAGGAAGAATCATATGCATGCATACCGGACGGACGCCAACGAAGAGTCTCTACATGACCCAACGGATACCTTAGAGTCACTCAAACTGACAAGAAGGAATCACACGCACCCCGCATAACAGCCTCGATAAAAGGCAGGAACGGCCGATCCTTGAACGTCGGCAGCCGGTCGGCACCAACCACCGTATCGAGTTCTTTCTGCGCGCGGGCGACCCAGGACGCGGATGAAAGAGAGGAGCTCGAGAGAACGCAGGCGAGAACGAAGGTTTGCATGGTCGACGAGGTCTGGGTTTACGCCAGTGAGCGGAAGAGAGTTGCATGTGGAGTGGACGTACCGTTTCGATGGCAGCCTGGCGCCGTGAGATGAGTGAGTAGGTGCACACCATGTAAAGACGGGGTGGATTGACGCACGCTAGCGAAGATATTCAACAAACGGCGCTGGTCGCCCTCCGGTTTGTCTTCGCTCGTAAAGATGGCAGCCCATCTGCGTTCAATTGTAAATCGGAAAGAAAGGAAAGGAAATTGGAATCGTACGTGTTCATCCCCGAAGCCTTCCCGGACACGGCTTCCGTAACGAGCTTGTCATATAGTGCATCCTCACGCTTGCGGAATGCAGCGGCGCGCGTACGCCATGGCATCGGTCCCGGAAGGATATTGAGAAACGGGAATGCGTTGATGATACTCGCACCGGGAGCTACGAGAGCGCCCAGTTCTTTTACACACTGCGAGAGAATGAGATTTTCTTGAATGGCTCCCGGATTGACTCGGATGCACGCACGGCAACGACCTCCTTGAGTTCAGGCTCATCCCCAGTCGGACAGTGCTGCCCAAATGTAGCAGTTAGAACCATACTCGCGGCTGTCCGCTCCATCTCGTGAAACCAGTGGTCCCCTCGATTTTCAAGAAGCCGCTTCACGCTGATGAGAGCCTCGAATTGCTGGAGAAGTTCCGTATCGCCGGCGCGCACACCAGACATGATACCCGCCGAGAGTTTGCGTGCGATGAAGTGAGTTTGGCCAGAGACGGCGATCCAGTACATCTGTGCTGGGTCGTAGTGGAGCTGTAGTAGTGTGAGAGATATGCAGAGACGATGGCGACACACGCACGGAGTAGGGGACGAGTGGACGCGCGGAAAAGTGCGCTGATCGTTTTTCGAGAATCTCTTTCGCAAGTTTCATGTTGCCGATGAGGACAATAGGCTGATCTCTGTCAAGCAAGCTGATTCAATCGTTGGACAGGCTTAATACTCACGAAACCGACGAGATTGAGCGATACGAAGCCGCCGTACTCTTCGCATAGCTGCCTGAAGTATGTCGACAGGTGCTGGGTTTTTTTTTTCACGGTGAGCTGCGATGGAATGGTAGAAGGTAGCTCAAAACGACTTGCCGTTTTGGGGATCTGCAGGATGTTTCCGAGGAGAGGCAGACCGCGCGGACCCGGAGGCAGGGGAGGGCCTGTGCGGCGTTTTACGAAGAATGTACCCAGTATGAGGACGATGCCCGCCAGAGCAATGTTTTGTAGTGAAGGCGCTTCCATGGGAAAAAGCGGGTGGGATATCCGTTGGGAGTGAGCGATTTAAGTAAAAAGTGCCAGCAAGCTAGTGCGGCCGCATAGGAGTAGTATTGCCAGCCCTGCGTAGCTGGCGTGTGGCGCCTGCTTTCTATTGAGTTTTTGGCATTTGAACCGAGCAGCAAGAATGGTAGCGCAAGAAGACACGCCAATGAAACAAGACGGATCACATTTCCATGACTCGTCTTCAACGCTCGAATTCGAATGGTGGACTCTTTGCACAGGGAGTCGGGCTGAGCCACGCCACCATGGCTCTAGTTCGGGTATGGCGCCGACCACGGAGAGCACAGCTAGTCTGTGTATTGCGGCTAGAGGTGATGAAGGCAGGAGGCAAGATGATTGTCGATCAGTGCATCAAAGGCAGCAATCGCTCGGCTAACCCACGGATCCCAACCAAGCCGAAGCGGCAGATCGGTATTACGTTCAAAATGATTGCGGATTGAGATTCGCCAAAAGAATTCGAAGCTGTCTCTGCACATGCACATCTGCCAATGCCGTCGGCTATACGTTGAGCTTCTGCCCATTCGGGATGGTCCGAACCAATCCTGGACGCGACATTTGGTTTTGCAGGACGCGGACAGGCAAGTTGAAGTTCGCTTAGACATCACCGTCTTGGTCCGTCGCGCCTGCTTCGCTCAAGCCTCATTTGCTGGTACAGTGGCACTGGCAGAAAGGTTGCACATGTCATCTGATGCGATCAATTCAACTGAAAAAGTCCTGCTAAGTATGAACAGCGCGGGTTAGGAACGACATGAAGGCACGCTGCACGAGTCGATTGGCACGGACAATAGACACCATGTTTGACAAGTTCAAGTTGCATAAGGTAATAGCAGGATTGCATTTGCTCGAGGATTGCCAAAGCTAGGCCTGTTGGCAGTTGCGCAATTCCAAATCTCATTATCAGTATGGACGTGTGTGGTGCTAGCTTCATGACACATGACAGCAATACTCCAAGGCTTGGCCAACGCATCAATTTGCTTCTGTGGAGTACGCCAAGAAAATGCTCCCCTTGCTTCCTGCCACCACCTTCTCGAGTCGCCTTTCGTCTACGCTACCTCAGCAATTTCAGCAAAGCAAAAACCAGCCTTGTGTGGTTCAAACCGGTGATTCCTGGCACGTTTCGTCTGCCGAATCAAGCCGAATAGGTTGGTGAGACTTGCTCGTTTTACCACTCAGAGAAAGGCAGACGCCGATTCGTCCGTGATGAGGATCTTGTCCCGTTCCCTTCAATTCGACCGCATTGGCATTCATCGTATCCTGTTATCTTCCGGCTGGGCTTGGACAATACCCTACGGCTTGGCATCTCACACACATACTCGACGACTCTGCCTCTGCCCGCGATGATTTTTCCACCGCAATCTATCCAGCTCCACTTGAGCGTCCGGTCCTGTCCACTGGCTCGGTAGCGCTCGGTCCATCTCCGGTAAAAGAGCTTCCGCAAACCATCACAGCATGGAATTCGGTGCCGTGCATCAGACGCAACGTTTTTTCTCGCGCCAAGAAAGATTACAGCAACTCCTGTTTCTTTTCAGCTCGCCCCTTGCAACAGTCGCTGGGATTTTTTCGAGCGCTTTTGCGGCGGGAATCACGACTTTCTGAGACGCCACCCTTTTCCAACTGCGTTCCGTACACTTACCAAGGGCTTGGGCGGGTGCAAAATTTCTGGACTGATTCTACCCACGGTCGGAATCAATGGGAAGCACCGGCAGCGGGGTACCCGATATCTATCACCGAAGCCAATGTCCATGCAGCCATTTTATTCTTCTTTCTCGAAATCGTGATGGTAACTGGGATGCTCTGACTGGTACACCGTTGGGCCGGTCCCGTACCGGATTTCAGGGCTTTCGCTTGGCCTTCCGGGCGGACACGCCTGTCCGACCGAGCTTGTTTTTCAACACAATTCTTCGGTACGCTTTCCCAGCCCTCGATAATGGAATTTCTCAGGCACATAAAAGTTGTAAAGGTATAAAGGCGAGGCGTTGTCTGAGCCACATCCCCAGGCTTCAGCTCACCTCCTCCTCTGTCTTCTGCCTTGCATTAAACATGCTCTCTACCGGATTCCTCCTCCTCGCTGCTACCGCGTCCGTTTATGGCGGTAGGTCCTCCCCAACGCCAGTTGAACTCGAATTGACGACGGTTCATTAGCTGCTGTTGAGCCTCGCGCGACCTGCGCTACAGGACAGACGGTCAAGAACGCAGCCTGCTGCGCCCTGTTCCCCGTTCTCCAGGACATCCAGAACGACATGTTTGCGGGTGACACTTGCGGTGATGCTGCTCACGCTGCTGTATACATTCACTTTGCCCTGCATCCTCCGGAAGCTGATCATTCAATAGCTCCGTGTTGCCTTCCACGACGCTATCGGCTTTTCCAAGACTCAGTCTAGCTTTGGGTATGTGCTTCGTCTCAAACAATGTTTTCGCAGCTAACGAGAGATGAACAGTACTGGCGCAGACGGCTCCATATTCTTGTTCGCAGAGCAGGAGCTTACCTA